CAAAAATAAATACTGCTCTGGACTGTTGTAAAACAACTTAATCCTGAACTTCATTAACTTCTTATATTGGAGCATAAAAATGATGGACTCAAGATGGTCCCTTAAATGTTTATAGTCTCATACTTTTCCTTTAAGGAGATGTAAGAGCACCACTTGGCAATTCTTTACACTTAATAATTACCTTTCTTATAAAGGTTTTTATGCTTAGTCAAAATTTAAGTCAACTTTCTAAAGAACATTCTTAAATTACCTTTAAATCCTATTTTTCCCAAGTCTTTTATTCTTAATATTTTAATTCCTTTTTTATTTTTCTGGAACTTTTTCCAAGAACACACAAACATAATGAGTCAGATTTTGCCTTGTAGATTTTAAAACCTGCGGGTAGGAAGGGGGACTTTCAGATTCAAAGAATGTACTCCCTGCAATCCTGACTTAACAGGTCTGCATCTTAGCCATGGTTCTGCATTTTAGCAGTCTCCTCCCACCACTTGATGTTTTTGGCATGAAGATGATCATTTGATCATTTTGGGAAACACTCATTAAAATCAGAATGGGTCAGGAAAATTTCTTTTCTCTCCAGACCCCACTTTTTACTTGTCTAACTCCACTTTCTACTTTTCTCCATCTTTCCACCCATCTCTGATATTTTCAGGTCCAATCAGCACAGAATACATCCATACCTCACAACTATGGGCATTGTTTCTCTCCTATTCTACCTGGAAAACTCTCATCTATTTATCCATCAAGGTTAAGAAAAATATTACCCCTTTTATGAAGTTTCCTCTTCCTCCTTCTCTTCAGGAATGCCCACATCACCATATATATACATATATATATATATATATATATATATATATATATATATATATATATATTTGTTACAGTGATTATTGAAACCTATCATTACCGTTATAGTTACTGATTATGGGTCTGTTTTCCATGCTAATTCGTCCATTCACAGACAGTGAACATCACATATTATTAGCCCAATAAACAGATTTTGAATTATAACCTAATAGTAGAATCACCTCTAGAGATATTTAAGGGGGCAGGGGGAACAGTTGCCAGCATTTTTCACTGTTCTTTTGAGACAAACATAAATCTAATATCTCTAACCTCCTTTAATAATTTATACTGTTTGACAAGATTTTTTCTAAGTTCTACTTGAACTTTTTTGGAAAAAATTATTTCTAAGAGAACATAGACTGAGCATGTTATTTCATCATCTCCATATATACAAGTTTTGGTTTTGAAAGTGATTTCCTGGCATGGTGTATTCTACAAATTAATTTTTATGTCATGATAGGAAATTAAGAAACATTTTACTGGATAATGTAAACTAAATCTTTAGAAGCTGGGATAGGGGAAAAAGCAATTCCACTCATGGAATTTCAGTCTATTAGAGAAGCCTAAGTAATAACTTAGAAGGAATTTGGGTAGCAAGAAATACAACAAATAGTGCTCTCTGAGTGAAGCAAAGTATACACTGCAAACCATTTATGAGTCTACAGCACCAGAGAAGCTTTCAAACATAAGCGTGCTTTATTGTCAAATGTGAGCAAATCATGCCCAAATGAGTATTCTCTTTCCAAGTGCACTGGGGAAAGAGACTTACATAATCATGTGTGGTTTTAGTGTTTAAGCCTTCTCAACACTGGCTGTTTGAGAGCAAAGTCGGTCATAGTTTCTGCTCCGTACAGAGAATGTTCCATTTGCTTTGGAAAATTGTCCTGCTTACATGGATTCTCTTGTTTATAGGCAGGTCTTCATGGCCATCAATATTTCTAAATGTGTCAATGGTAACACAGTCCCTTTCCACTTTTGTCAGAAAATCAGAATGTCTCAGAGCTAGAGTCTCCTGTCCCTAATTCCTTCCCTTTTATTTACTTCTCTTCTGCTATTGTGGCTACAAGTGATGATATGACATTTTGCATAAGAGAAAATGGCTGCCTGATTATATCTTAATAAATAATCTTTGTACTTCACTCACTTGTAGCTTCCTCAACTCTTCTAAACAGTTATATCATATATTATAAATTCAGCTAATATGGAAGGGCTCAGGAAAGGTATGGGGCTGGACTATATGCAAATATTTTGATTCATGGTTTTGATACATGGCATATCTAAATACAGGACTCCTCTGCAAGATTTATAATTCCATGGTCTTGATGACCTGAAATGCTTCCCTGCCCTCCTTGTGTGCAATAACACAAATCTAAACCACTGTGTTCCAAGTGAGCTGAAGATCTGATTCTCAAAAAGCCTTCCCAGTGCAATCAGTCTACCCAACCAGAGGGACATATCTTAGTTCTTAGAAATGTACTGTCTCCACCTCTAAGTTGACACTTGGCACGTGTCTCCACACCCCAAAAGGTTGCATATTCCTCAAGAGGAGGAGCCAGGCCCTATATGTGTTCTATCCACCATAACACACATTTTAAATACCCACCAATTCCCTACTCATCAACTCTTACCAACACTACAAAAGGATTCCTACAGTACTGCATAAGAAGTTTTTAATTTGCCAGTGATATCTAGATCCATTCATTACCTAATAGTTAAGGATTGTTTTTATCTCAAAATATCAGAACAAAAAACCTATGGAGTCAAAAAAACAAATCAATCTTCCAAATCAACACATAGCTAACTATCAGACATTTGATATTGTCCATTTAAATGAACAGAGCCCACTTGTTAACCAAATAATAAACTACATCAAATACAGGGTACATCCTAAAACCTACTTTGGACTGAAATTTTCTTCCTGGACTATAGAATGCTATGTCTCATACAAAAACAAAGTCTCATCAGCTATTCAGTATTTTTCCCATAAGCAATTTCTTAAAAATATATTATAAAATCATACAATTTTAAAGCAAGTTACTTTAGGATATATCTTGTAGATCATTAATCAGCATTTTACAAGGAGAACACTGAGTCCCAAGAGATCAAAGTAATTTTCTTTCAGTTACCTAGTCAGTAACAGAAATGGAACTACTATTACCAGTGTTGAAACCTCAAATTAATTCAAATTTGTTATACTTCATTGTTTTATTTACAGGACAATATATAGAATTTTTAAATAGAATTTTAATACATACAAATGAATTAAAAAATAATGAACACAACTATAAATGAAACATGCACATGAAGATAAACAAGTGCATGCACAATGCATTCCATGATAGACTCTCTGAATTTGCACAAGTGCACAACACAACTGTTCTTAACTAACGAAGTTAAAGATGATTGTATTCGAAGGGTTTGTAAAATATGAGCATTTCTTACCTGGCAGCTGTATGAGGGGTTGATAAAAGACATTGAAAACTTGAGCTATAGTTAGACATTAGATTTTTCTGGCACTGAAGGTCTCTTCTGCCTGGGTTTGAGGGTGTTAGCATTTATAATGAAGGTAGGCCAAAGACTTCAGAGAGATCATCCAATATATAAGACTTTGGCATTGTTACCCATATTGCAATATAAAGTTGACTATATGTGATTACCACCTAAGTTTTCCTATTGGCCAGTTATGGCTCTATTTTTCATTATTGTACCTGAAATCTCTACCATTACAGTCACTTCTTTAAGTTAGAAACTGTAGGTGGGAAAATCACTTCAGAACTTGCCATGCCATTCCACCCCAGGTAATGAAAAGAACAGGATTAGCTCTAGTGATTTTGAATTCTAAGAATGCATAACTTGGCGGGGCAGGGGGACAGAGATTTCTACATGTAACAAAAAAGCTAATGATGAGAAAGGACTCTTCCTTTTAAACTGTCTCTGATTTTCCAACACCAGTATCCACACATAGTTAACTAGGGATGTACACTTTGAAGAAAATGAATAATATCTTCTTAACATATTTCCTAACACCTATGATCCACACCAAGGAGCTTTTATCCTACCTCATGAAAACTAACAGGGCCTCACATTTTGATGGTCAAACCCTTTTAAAAAACACCCACCCTGATACTTCAACATCCTTTAAAGATTTAACCACCTTCATGAACTTCCTTTGCCCTTTTATATAAAAGCTGACATCTTGACAGTTTTAATAGGTACCCTGGAGAGAACAGGTAAAGTAGAGGAAAAATGCTCATTCCAGTTGATTTTTTCCTTCCAAATACTAAGGCATACAAAAGAATTAATCAGTATTATAGAAACCCAAAGGAAACAAAGAACAGTGACATTTCACAGCTCTTACCCACAAAGAAATCTTACAAAACAGCATCAGTGTTATGACATACAGCATCAACAAAAAAGTTAGTAAATTTGGTTGTGACACCTTGAAATGGCTGTACCCTTAATCTTGCAAGAGTGGTAACTCTTTTGTTTTAAATATTTTTTCTTCATTTGAATATTTTCATTTGTTTATATCAAAACCAAGTTTATTAATTCTTTATGTATCAGTTTCTTCACAATTTTACCCCCACAATTTTAAAAGAACAGACTGATTCTCTGGGCTAACGTCAATAAAGGATATTGTGTGACCCTGTTATCTTTCAAATAAAGAAGAACATCTCCTCACTAGCCCTCCTTAAAGAAGCTCACCAAAGGACTACAGAATGGATTCATTCCACATATGCAATGACTTTCAGTCCCAATGGGAAGAAAGACTAAGAAATAAAGGAATGAAATACCATTTCTACATCTCAAGTTTCGATCATGCTTGAAGAATATATCTGCTGTGGAATTCTCAAATCATACAAAGAATAAATAAGTAGATCCTTTACCCAAAGTTGGTTAACAGTAAAAGAAGACTTATGTGGTCACATCTTTACTTCTTTCAATCCCCATCCACCTGTTTTCAAAATTAATGCTTACAATGAGAAAGATTACATTAGAAAGCAAAGTTACTCACCATGGAGGAATCACTGCTTCCACTCCCGATCGGAGCTCCCTCAGCACAGGTTGGGAGGTGGGTAGAAAGTTGACTAGCCCTGCCCCCATCTATGACATCACAATCTACCTCATAAAAGGTAGTGAAAGTGCTCTGAACTCCTGTCTGATTTCCGAGAGATACAGAAAAGAGTGAGTGAGAGAGAGAGCAAGAGAAAGAAAAAAAAAAAAACGTACCCTAATGGGAAGGGATTAGGGAAGTGGAAGAGGGAGTGGGTTATTGGGAGAAAGACGCATATGAAGGAATTAGGTGCTAAAAGAGATATGGGTGGGCATCCATGATATTAAGCAGCCCAGCCATATGAATTCCTCAGTGGCTCTCTTGAACCGATAAATGGACCATCTGGGAGAAGGAGAATGAAGAAGCACCCTGCCTTGTCAGGCATTGCCAGGGACAATCATAGTGGCATTTAAAGGGGATGAAACTCCCATTTAAAGCATTGAAGATCACCAAGACAGAAAGCAAGGGCTGCAGCTTTTAAAGCCTGGAACAGTATGTGGGGAATCTCAAGATGTCTTTCTTGAAGTTCCATTGCCCTGCTGTGTGACCTTCATCAAGCCCTTGGCCTCTGCATCTCCAGCCAGTACATGGTACTAAAAGGATACTTACCTCTTTTATTGGAATCACTGAAGAACTAATGCATTCATTGTTGCTACAACTGCCACTCTTTTTACTCTTCCTTTTTGTACCCAAGGAGGGGCTGTGTGACAGGCACATTTCAAAAGATAAGCCAATAACCAATGCCTATTTCTACTTCTTAAAATGTTATCTTCAGCATAAAGTATTACTGTCAATCTTGACCAGGTTTTTTTGTATGTACTGAATATAAAATATATCTAAATGGGGTTATAAGAGCCCACCTTCAAAACTGGAGTAAAATTAAATGGGAAGATTTCCATACCATAGGGTCCCTACACAGCCACTGTCAGAGGTCAAATTTAGGTGACCCAGTGATGCTAACGGATCAAACATTGTGTCACATGCAGGAAAGCTATAGTCATATAGCTTTATTTAACCTCTGAATCCATTTTGGGGGAGGGAGAAACTGATCTCAGGCAAGATGGGAAAATAATACAGAGAACACTAAGATCTTTTTTTAAAATGGAGGTTTAGAAGTTAAAAACTATGAACTACTCAAAAGTTGTCAAGGGAGTAGTATGACCAAACAAAAAAGAGTTATATTAAAGAGCAGGTAGGTCCTGAAACCATCCACATGGAAGCCAAATTTTTATCTGTCTGGTGGGATATATGAAAAGTGAGACCTACTCTTTCCACAGAAAATATTTTAGTAAAAGTAAGAGCTTACAATTCATGGCATCATAAATGGGTAAAGCCCAAAGAAAGTTTGTTTCTATATGCAGATAAACAATATTCTTTAATTTTTTTTGAAGCAAATATAATTCTATTTTTAGTCCTGCCATTCTTAGCTCACTAACTATGTAAGTGTATTAAATAATCACAATATAAAAATTAAGCAAAATAGGCAGGTTAGGGAGCATTCTGAAACACAGATGCTACTAAAGTCAAACTGATAACGGATTTAGCATTATTTCTACCATCTTTTACTTCAAAATAAATGTTAGAGACATTTAAAGAATGTCTTTAGAGAATTAAAGACAATAGAGAAGTAAAAAATATCAAATTTATGAAGAAAAAATGGAATTTTTCTTATACTTGATGTTTTCAGTACTTATTAGGAATACTCTGCATATTTCACACTCTGTATTAATTTCAGTAATTCTAAATCTAAATTCAAATTCTGGATTCAACAGCTTTTTTCTGTGAATTTTCACAATTAATAGCCCTATGAAGCCTTATTTTTTTTCTTATTTTTACTTATTGGATCATTGACCAGTTGGCTTATCTTTGCTTTTTTATGCTTTATAGTTGATCCCATTTGTTTTAGAAATTGGGCATTTCCTGACTTTCTCATTATAGGAAATATGCCATTCATTTACCATTATTTCTCAGTTTCAAAAACTATTCTTACATATTAGAAACTAATTTCTGTCATCTCACCTTTCATACAAAATTTAAAGGTCATTACTTTAAGATTACTGATGGCAATTGCTCAATAAACACCTTAAAAATTTTTACTATCCAACAAAGAAGGTACACATCTGCCAATGTTAAGATATCAAAATAAAAATGGAGGTAAACATTTTTTAAATATTGAAATAAAACTGATTTATACTATATAGATATTTCTTATTATCTACTGCTTATTTGGAAATGGAGCATGACTTCAGGAACCCAATGCAAAACTAGGCTGCATCAAAAGGATGCAGAGTGGTGAACTGTGCTGACTTTTTAGGTGAATTTAGTATGATTGGTTTCAATAATGTCTTTAGTTATATTAGTTGAAAAAAATATCTCTGACACAGAATGCAATGCCAGGACCAGATAATTTCTCTTCTTTAGGATCTAGCCTCTTGACATTTTTATGAAAACTACGTGTCATTAGAATTATGGAGCTGATGCATACTTTCTATGATAGCACATAAATGGATGAGTTAGCCTTTCAAGACAAAGTATGAAGTGAAGTGATTATAAGATTTCGGTCAAGAGACCATTATTGAAGTCATGGTTATAACTTTATTCTGATCAGAAATGTAGGATTGGTTTCAAAATGTTGTTTGTTGAAAAATTGTTTCTATTTGACCGTACAAAAGATAAAGAAAAGTCAGGTGGAATAATTCGTACATTCCGAAAGAATAATCTGGAGGTACATTAATAAAGTAATTAATTGTGGAAGACATGAACAGGCAGTTGGCATGCAATCTGACCAAAATGTTGTTATTGAAGAGAACTATCTCAGCAAGACAGAATCCAAATAATTTTGATAGCAACAGATTTGAACTGGGAGTTCCTAGGTAAAAGATTCTATTTTGAGTTTGTTTTATGAGAGTGTCTCACATACAAAACCTTGAACTTAAAAGAGTATGGGTTCTTATAAGATGATGTTGACTGGAACTTCTCCAGGAACTTCTCTAAGTTGAGAAATAGATTTGCAGGAGGAAATGGATGAAAGCGGTCAAGATACAGATTGTGCAGATTTGACAAAAGATCTAGCCAGAGTTCCAGTCAAGTTCATTATCAGCCAGGCATCTACACAGATGAAAGTATTCAGAGAAAAGCAGTAAGATAAGATGTAGTATTGATGATGAAAGAAAAGATTAAAGTCTAAATTAAGTAAGCTTGCTTTCAAGAAAATTGGAATAGGATGAAATATTTGAAATATATTTATTGCCCACAAAGAAAATGACTGTTCAAGATAGAGTAAGACAATATGTTCTGAATCAGTAAAAGAAATTTGAACTAAGAAAACTACACACTACCCATCCAGAAGTCTTTCCTATTTGTAAGATACATGGCATATATTTCTCTCCTAAGGGCTGTGATAAAAACCATATTTTATAAATCATTTAATTAAGCTGGAGAAAGCATTTGACAAAAATAATCTGCAGGAGCAGAATAAGAAGATAGTAAATTAAACACTTTTATTTCTAGAATATAGTAAACCAAGAACAGGGAATACACAGAGATAGCTATCAACAGACACCCTGCTATTCTTGCTGAGAATGCTAAACAGAAAGATGAAAAACTAAATAGAAAAAAGAAAACCCAATGGACTACACAATCTAACAGAGGCACAAAAAAAAACAGAAAAATTTATTCTCTTCATGGAAATTATTTGCTATTAGAGATAAAGGACTTTGAATACCTTCACCCAAACAATATTTAGCACTATGACTTTTAAGTAGTTGGAACACCCTAGAAGTGCTGTTCAATGAATCAGGAAATATCTTTATGTGAACAGGAAGTATAGCTCTTTGAAGCCCTGATTGCTGGTTTGTCATTGGAAATTAGGAACATCATATGGATATGATAATCTTTTTCTAGAAAAATAGGATTGTCAAAATTTTATCAAATCTAGCACCAAATGTAAAATCCTATCTCAGTTTTGCTATGGAGTCTCTTAATTTCTTTTATTTTGAGTCATCTGAGGTAATGGAAAATTGTACAAAATCAGTAATGAGATTCCCCAGATAATATTTAGTATCAGGTCTTAATATTCATCTTCTCTTTTTTATATATTTTTTATATCAACTGTTCACATTTTAGCTTCTTTTTCTTCCAACTGCCTTCAATCCAGGAATTCTTGAGGTATATCCAAGTAGGAACAAGAAAAAAAAAATCACAATGGATTTAGGTAACCAATTCAAAGTAATGTATTTCTTGACTAGAGCCAACAAATCCAAGTGTACACAGGAATACCAGAAAGCATAAGCTAAATTATAGATACTGTTTCTAAATAAAGGTATTCTATCCAATACTGTGGCTTCCCATAATTATTTGGTTCAATTTAAGGGAAAAGGTGTTATCTGGATTTATTCTCACATATACAAAACTAGTTAAAAATGAGGAGACATTTCCTAAGACACTACTATAGACTTTAATTATTTAAAATATGTTAATAAAGAACATCTTAGAATGAAATCAATTATAACCAACAGACAGTATCTCAAAATCAGAATATGTCTCATGGGAAAATGTTATAAACCAGTACTTCTTCAATAGGTTCGCCTGTGTTACACAGATACCAAAAGATATGCACAATTAGTGTCCCTCATCCAGGTACCTCCCATGTGTCTAATTTCCAAGTTGTCATAAAATATTACTCAACATTGGCTGTGAAATATTGTTCTGAATATTAACTGAAATCTAAAATGTTAATTGCTAATAGAATAAGGTGTGAATTATTTGCCTTCTTTTTAATTCAAGGCTTTCAAAACTTGAATAGCTTCTAAAACCTAAAGGAATGAAAGTTCACTGACTGAAGGACAAATAATGGCACTGACATTTCTGAGGTAGAGACATTCTTCATTAAGCCACTAGCCACTTCTACTCTAATGCACAGTAATGAACACCTTCAAACTAAAATAGAAATGTCTCCATTTATAAGCTCAGGTGATGCAATCAAATCAATCTATTGAGAAGATCCAAGTTAGGTCAACCTACGTCTCCACTTAAGGTAAAAAGAGTTCTTTCCTTGGTTCATGTTCCAGCTTTGCCACAAAGGAGTCTGTCTTCTTACTTTCAAATGAGAGCATTAGAATATAAAGTATTTTTTCTATGAATAAAACAAATTGGATGACCAACTGATTTAATTTCATCAGTAAAAGTTTCATTTTTTTAATAATAGATTGAATTGAGAAGTTTAGGGTCACCATCACCGAGTATATAACTAAAGAACTACTCTTTATAACAGAGCAATATACAATCCTCCTTTGCACAAGACTATTTAAATTCAGAGAGACACCTGACAGGTGTGGTACACTAGACACAAAACTTCCTATGATGCCTGGCACTCAAGGAGATTTTCACTTTTCTTATAAAAATCCCCATCTCCCATTTTTTTCCATATGTAACACCTTAAGTTTGTTAAATGTCACTTTTATAACACTGGGAGAATGAATTTGCACTGAAAAATCACTTCAGGGTTATTTTTCCCTGAAGGTTTGCATAATTTGGGTTGTATAAAAATCAGTGACCATGTACACTGATAAATGTAACTAAGGAAGGCTCAATGCAGGAATCAGAACTTAAATGGTTATGGTTTCACTACCATAACAAATTGGGAAGGTTAGGCTTTTGGGAGAAAGATTGAATTATTCAGCAACCCATCTTACTAGTAAAGTATATGCAGAGAACTATGGCCATTCTGCCAATGATAAATGTTTAATTTTCTTACTGGTACCGAGTATTTCCAACACCCTTTCTTCCAGATTTATAATCAGAAGTTTGTTTTAGTCTTTCTCTAGATCTGGACTCTCCTACTGTTCATAGTTCTGAAAAGTCTGTTAAGCCCAAATAATTAACAGCCTCCCCTCTGGAAAATCTGGAGAAAATTATTTGGAACTGCTGTTAATTTCCTGAATATATACCTTTTATTTTTTTAAATGAAGTACAGAAATGCATTTCAGACCCCAAACTGAAATAGCTAGTAATTTAGATTTATTTCCATTACTACTACTCCAATCAGTAGAGATAATCAAGAATTGACAATAGACAGAATCAGAATATATATATATATTTTTTTTTTTCATAAAGCAAAAAAAAAAAAGTTTTATTTTTTTTCCTCCTTCTAGGTGAAGTTCTTACAGATACTGGGTTTTGAATACAATACCATTTTAAAACATTTTTTATCAGTTTTATTTTCCTGCATTATATCATTTTTTATCACTGTTCTATGAACGTGCTATGTCTAAAGAATTAAGTTTAAAGTACACTGGGAAAAATATATTCTTATCTCACATGCCTATTCCTTGAATGCCTCAGTACTTTTTCCTTACTTCATTTTTTCCCCTTAAATAAATTTTCTTTTTTTCCAGTGTCTACAGATCTCTTATACATATCAAAACATAGGTCAATTTCTGATTCCTCAATGACCTCTATTTTCTTTGTTATAAGTGACACCTTCCTCTAGACTTGGGTATATTTTTATTTATACTTCTATCATTAAACATACACATGCTGCCATCTATTAAAATAAATTTTATACTCTTCTTATCACCTCATTCAGAATGAAATGTGTTAGAGTGGATCATCTGTCAGTCATTTTTATACTCTGCTCAATTTAGTAAACATATTACTTTCTTCTACAACATTCTAGAGACAATTGTAACCACTGGAACTATGAAGACGAACAACCTAAAATCCATTTCTTTCTTTTTTTTTCTTAACATATAATGTATTATTTGCCCCAGGGGTACAGTTCTGTGAATCATCAGGCTTTCACTTATTTGTGGAGCATAACAAATAGCATGGAGGACAAGGGGAGTTAGAGAGGAGAAGGGAGTTGGGGGAAACTGGAAGGGGAGGTGAACCATGAGAGAGTATGGACTCTGAAAAACAATCTGAGGGGTTTGAAGGGGCGGGGGGGTGGGAGGTTGGGGGAAACAGGTGGTGGGTATTAGAGAGGGCACAGATTGCATGGAGCACTGGGTGTGGTGCAAAAACAAGGAATACTGTTATGCTGAAAATTAAAAAAAAATGACATAATATTTAATCCTCCTTGAAGAAATGGATTTTAGAGTGTAAGCCTGATGATTCACAGAATATATATTTTTTAAAAAACTTTCCCCAAATAAGAGTACAAGGCTACACAACTAAGTACAATGCTTGTTTCAATGACTGCTTCAGCCCATTACAAAATACACTATTTTTTATAGATGAAACGCAGAATTTTTCAAATAAAATGCAACTCTCATCTCAAATCATATTTTTAAAATGTTTTTAAAATGGAATACAAATGTATAAAAATGTAATCTAGAATATATATAAATATATTTTTTAAAATATATAATACATATAGCATTGTACAAATAATGCCCATATTTTCTTTTCCCTAAACTGTCTTTGATCAGATATGTCACAGTTATCAACCACTGGTTCAGTTCCTGATTGCTGCTTATTCAGGGAGTAAGGGAGTAAATATCAAATCATGTGTATTTGTTGCATGTGTGTATTTTTGTGCATATGCACATATGCCATAGTCAGGTAAGACTGATTCGACCATTATCAGTTTCTAGTACTGTATGAATGGCTTTCATTTATTACCATGAATATTCATGTTGATTTTAATTGAGTCCAATTTTTTAATGATGTGAAACAGGCCATGTAGACTATAACTGACTACTTACTCTCCAATTTTCCCTTTACTAGTTCAAATCCTACCAGTATCACAAATTATATTTGTTCACCTTGTCAAGATTCTCTTCATAACCCAATTGAGAGGGATTCAAATTTGGAAAGGGGAGATTTAAATGGCAAAGAAAAAAAGTGCCCATTTAGGGTGGGTTACTCAATCCCTTAGGAATAGCATAGGGCTCCATTTCACCAGGCTGAGGATGTAGGAAAGAACATTACTTGCCTTCAAACTCTGCTCCTATATTTTGTTAAGTATGAGAAAAAGACATTTATATGTAATGAAATCTATTAAAATTTGTAGCATTTTCATGTGGAGTCAACTATAACATAGTCTGTGTCCTTCCATCTCTAACCTAAACACTGAATTCCTGTCCAAAGTAGGGCTAATTGCTCTTGCATTCTGGCTTCATTGTTTTAAAGATGTATTTGAACTTCAAAAAAAATTTAGGTAGAATTTTTCAGATTTATCAGAATGCTTGATGTTTAGCATTCTACATTCTAAAATTCCACATTAGTGTTTTCAGTCTCATTCAGAAAAATGCAAAAGTATAAATGTGAGGGTAGCTAAGATAATCAAAGGTTATGGAATGTTTTTTATTTCTCCAGATCCATATGTGCATCTTCATTTTAAAATGTAAAAGAATCCATTAAATCCTCTGCAACCTAGCAAATAAAAAGTAAAAACACAGCAATCAAATATACAGGTAATATCCACATCATAGCACTGGAATGAATTTGTATTCAAAATATGTTTACATACTTGAAAAAAAGTGGCTCAACTTTTCTGCCATGATGAATATAATACTGCCATGTTTAATGGATATTACCTGCACTAAAATAATTTACAATAGGCTATGGTTAAGTTTCTCTTTCCTTTTTTTCTTCCTTCTTTCATGACTCTTCTCTCTTACTCTCCCTCCTTCCCTTTCTTTCATTTGTCTTTTCTTCTTTGAACATTTCTTTTTCCAGAAAGCATATAAAACTGTTTTAAGAGTTTAAATAAACACAAAGCAAATAAAGCCAGTTTATAAATGAATGGATGTTTAATCTTCTGGACTTTGGTTTCCTCTACTTTCTCCTTGGCATTTCTAGCACTGTTAGTTTTTTGTTTTGTTTTGTTTTAATTTTTTCTTCCCCATTGACCCCCTTAGCAACCATACAAATGGCTTAAACTGAATTGGCTCACAAATGCATCTTCTACTCTGAGATTTATTAAGAGCAGTACATTTTTGGCCGGTGAGAAAGATGTAAGCCAATAACTTTAAAAACGTATCTCCAGCCAGAAAGTTAATGGTGCTTCTTAGACAGCAGTTGGGTGAATGAACACATGTAGGCATATATTCGAGACTGAATTATTTCTCTAGCTTGCCATCATGATTCAAGAGCTTTTGGACCCATTGTTCCCCCACCCATAACCTACTGAGTTTCCTGCCCCCAAACACCCAAGCCAAACACAGATAAAACAGAAGCCTTTCCCAGTCTGTACACACAGAATTACATAAAACATACACATGCTGACATGGTACATAACTGTGCACATGTGCATTTTGCTTATCTTGATAGCACAAGGGTCTAAAAACACAGTTCTCAGCATTGAAATTCAAATAATTTTTCTTGACAAAATGGGAATAGCCTATCCAAATCTCTTGTTTTAGGGGAAAATCTGACTACTAACATATATACCTACTTGGGGGCTTTCATATGTTTCAGAGAAGAAACCACAAACCTGAATCCCATGTACATAAACACATAGGAAAAAAGGAAGGAAGATTCAAACATTTCTCTCTTTTTTTGATTGCATGTTATATTCTAGTAGTTTTTCCTTAAAAATGTAGCAACTTTGTCACACCAGACCATAAAATAAATGGGGCCCAAAGCATGGGCACATTTTCTTGGCAAAATCATTGAAAAGTTTGTGTGTATGGGGTCTTACATTCTTGACTCTTTCAGAACTTTGAAGGTAGTCATTTGTGGCTATTTTGCAAAATAAACATTGATTTTTTTTTTTTTTCTTCATTGGCCATCAGTGAAGGAGGATGAAGAATAAGATGGAGGCAGAAGTGGCGAAGACAGCAGACTACAGATGTAGGTATGGCACCAAATAGCAATCAAGCTTTGAAAAAATGAGGAGGCCAAGAGCAGGTCCATAACTGAGCAATATATAGCAAACCTTTATAATGCATTTGACTCAGAATTATTATAAAGTTGTATAACATTCCTTTAAAAGAAGCCTTCCCCCATGCAAGGATTTTTGAACTTTGCCGGTAAGACTCAAAGAAGGAAATAGGCTTCTTGATGGTGTTCTCAATCTCAAACACCTCTACAAATGCCAACAGTGCAAGTGATAAAAGCCAGTGATGGTTTGGACTACATCTAAATGAGGAAAAGACAATGGAAATGAAGCTCTGGAAGCAGTGATGAACAATGGGTACTGAGAGGATAATGGAGAGCAACTCTGCCAGTCAAATATCGCTTAGATGAGGTTGTGGAGTCTGAGATCCACAAAGATGCTTTGCGCATCCATGTAAATAATAAGATTTGGAAAGTGACAAATGAAAGCACATAAGGCAAGCTAAACAAAAAGCACTCAGTTCCACAGGTGCTATATACAGATGGACATGAAAGCCGAATGGTATGGGAGACTATACCATTGAGTCTGAAGATAAGAAAGGAAGCAAGGGATATGCAATGTTTTGATCACTTCTTGGCAGAGAATCTTGGTTATTACCAACTCAGCAGAAAGGACACATTGCAAGACAGATTGCTCTTGGTTGCTGAAGAATGTTGAAGCAGGATCATTTTGGAAATGCAAAGAGGTGACTATGCTTTGGGAAGAGGCACAAAATAGCCAATTTATTGGACTCTAGGGGAGACTGCATGGAACAGTCTTTCTAGATGGCATCTCCATGCAAGCCAGATCAGCTCTTTTCCCAGCTGTTTTCTGCAAGTCAAACAATATAGAACCTGAAAACTTTGGGTTCAAGAATGATTTTTCAACATATTTTTATCAAATGGTCAAACTGCTAAATTTCTGAAAATGTCTCAGTAAAAAATTAAGCATCATGACTAGTCTGATTCTCATAAGGCATTCACCATGTTGATCATGTTATGTTCCTGGTGATGCCACACTTAAAATGGCATTATGGTTTACTGGGAAAAGAACTAAAGGTGGCAGAGCCACACTTTGGAATTCGCAAATAGTTTACAACAGATGGCACCTCATGTTCAAAGAAAGGGACTGAGGGAGGAGAAGCCAAGGTGAAGAACCTCAACACATACATTTGGAAATCTTGCCAAGAAATCATAATGTCTCTATTAATCAAACTCATTTTTTAATATCTGATGAAAGTGGACCAGATACGAAGGGAAACACTGGAGTGATTAAGCAAAGAATACATAACTGTTAGTGTTTGACAGCTATGTTAGTTTTTGGCAACAGCACATCAACCTGTATTAAATTTGGATATTTTCTGGCTTTCAAGGGTTACTGATAACCTAGTATGCATTGGAACCTGATGAATGAGTTCCTATTGTTTTCATCATCTCTAACATGTGAACACAATCCACACATAGAGAGGCTGGCTTCTGAACAGAGAGTGAAAATTACTAAGACTAACAAAGGGAAGTAGACTCACAATGAGTAAATGTACAAAAGCTCCAAATAATTATAATAGTCACAGCTTGGCAATGAGTTTCCAGACTATGAAATTAGTTTTCTTGTGAAGAATGGAGATTTTACAAGGCTAGTATAAACATGGGGTAATTGGAAAATCAAATTGCTCTTTGTGAATTATTATAAGGTCTGGAATAATGGTAATAACATTTATTAAAAAAAAAAAAAACCCTCCCTATGAATCACTGTAGTTTGGTGTTTTTAAGCAGTACTGTTGCCAAGAATGCTTGCCTTGGAAGTACAACAGTGGGAGCTTTAATTGTGAAGCCCAAGGCACGGCTTACCCCTGACACAATGAGCTCTCCTCCGAGATTCTGTACTTCTGCCTTCACCTTGCTGCAGATATTAAGCTGATGGCAATACAAGGCAATTCGTTGAAGGTAGGCTAATAAATCCTGCTTACATGCTGAATCAGGACACTATAAAACATTAAAAAAAAAGTGATCTCAATTAGCAAGTACTCTTCAGTTTCTAATACTCACTATATAAAAGCTGTGAGAAGAAAAGGTTTTAGTGTCATATACCTTAATTACCCCCATTTAACTTCACTTCTTTATAGCACATTTTAGGAAGGCCATAGCCAGTATTTTAGAATGGTCAGCTCTACTTTGATATAATTATATAAAAAGAATAATGAAGATCTTCCATAAAGTCTTCTGGGAACTTTTATACATGTTTTTGAGTAATTTTACCAGTTGTCTTCTGAACTGTTAAGAAAACCAGATATTCTCCAGGTTTTTTCCTAGTGGCCCATCCAACATTCACCATATGTAGTTTTGTTAATATGGACAACCAAAGCAACAGAAGCAGAAGGAAATCGCTCCAGGTAGCAATCTCTCTGACACAGCATAGCATAGAATTTCAATTCAATTAGTTGGGGGGGGAAACGCTTGTTTCCTTTGGATTTCTCAGAAAAGTATCAGGAAGAAATCCTTTGGATTTCTCAGAAAAGTATCAGGAAGCCTCTTTCACTTTTTGTACCTTTATGTTTATCAAAATTTTAGCAACATTATAAACTTTCTTTAAATAAGAGACTCTGAGAAGGATCATGACCACTGTTAGTGCAATCGATTTAAGTAGAATGAGTTTGAAGCCAATTGAAACAAACTCCTAAAAGTAAAAACAGAACCCTTCAGAGGTTGTTCCAGAGCCAACTAGGACCAGGATTTTGAATTTTCTTTATTACCTAGTGGGTAGATCTCCATCAAATACAACTGAGCTTAGCTGAACACTTCCATAGACATTTACATGGCTCCCTAAAGCATTTCTGAGGCTTCAATACCAATCGCTATTTGGCCACTGAAATATGTTTCTATTGCTATCAAAAGTTCAGTTCAAGATTCTGTAGGCCTGGCTGTTCTGGCTCAATCTGGCACTAGTAAAGAGCATATACTCACCAAATCCCTTGATGAAACACTGTTAAAAATAAGAACCTAGAGCCAAAACCGAAGTAACTTAATTAGAATTAGAGTATGAAAAAAAAAAAGACTCCAGGTAGGTTTCCTTCAAGCTGAAGAAAGGCAATTCTGAAAGAAAAGAAAAGAGAAAAGAAAGAAAGAGAGAATGAAAGAAGGAAGGAAGGAAGGAAGGAAGGAAGGAAGGAAGGAAGGAAGGAGAAAGAAAGAAAAGAAAAGAAAAGAAAAGAAAAGAAAAGAAAAGAAAAGAAAAGAAAGAAAGAAAGAAAGAAAGAAAGAAAGAAAGAAAGAAAGAAAGGCAGGCAAGAAAGGCAGTTGTTCCATTAAGACTGTGAAGCCAGTGGTTGTGACACAATCATTTCTTTAATGAAAGACATAGGGGTCTCTTTTATATATAATACCATTATGGTACTTTTTTCACTAACTGCATTTATCAAGAAAGAATCCCACAGCGACTGTTTTTAGCTTTCTACAAGTACTTTATACTGTAATATTTATCCTACTCCAGAGACCCATATACTGAAAGGAATTAACTTTAAAATGATATCTCCCTAGAGGGCTGACAAGGCTTTCGATACAAATACCTTGCAGCAAATTAGACTGGAACTTCTATCTCAATGGAACAGTAATTAAAAATGCAACAGTCCGTAAAAAGTTTATATTGCTTGCATATCTCAAATCTTCATAAAAATATTTTCAGGCAAAATAAAGGCAACAAATCCATTCCTTGCTAATGCTCATTCTATTCTATTATTTAAAACACACATAAAAGCATGATGGACCAAGAAAAATAATTCTTGTATCATGGAAATAGGTGCAGATTTTGAGAAAGAAGCGTCCTATTCAGACAAAACATTAGCAAAAATTGCAAGTTGCTTCACAGCTGATGACAGTGAGAATGCTACAAAGAGAGGGTTATATTTAACCCTCATCTGTTTATTTTAAAAGTTATCACAGAAAAGCACTTAAATACTTTGTCATTTAATTTCAAAATACGTCTAGAATCTTGGGATTTGTTTGTGTGCACGTGTGGAGTGCTTTCCAGATAGCCAAACTGTTTTGGGCCAGGATTCAAGTTGCATAATAGTTAGAAATAAGGGTCTAAAAATGCAACGGCAAAAACAAAAGTCACAATAAAAAATATCAAACTCAAGGAGCTTAAACATACTAAGAAACAGTTTCAGTGATTGAGACTCAGAGTTTATGGAAAGCCATCCAAACTCCACCCACTTTCTCTTCTGGGAAGAAGTCCTTCCTCACAAAACTCTTCAGGACCACCACCAATCTCTTCTCATTCCACTCCTCCCAAGTTCCCTCTACATTTTTGGGCAAAAAAATGTGGCATTCCTTCCTGGCTGGTGTATTTTTGTTTGTTTGCATACATGCATGCACATTTCCAAGTACATTCACTGTCTCCATGAACTTTCTGGGATACATATAGAACTCTGTATAAAGCAGTTCAATGTATGCTGCAAAGTGCAGGAGGCCGGGCAGCTGATAGTGTCCTGAAATTAGTAACTTAGTAATAGTTTGGTCTTCAACCCACACAAATTATAGGGAATAGTCAAAGGATGGTATTTAGTGAATTATCTTTACTATTAAGTGTTTCTCAAAAATTTCAAAGCAAGCAAAATACATTCCCTTGGATTAGCCATCATATACGTAAAAAAAAAATTAAAATGAGACAATCTGTTGGCTTATTATAAATGTAGACTTGATAGTTTAATCATGTGTTTTTCTTTTCAGTGTTTAGAAGATGAGTGAGTTTGGTATTGACCCAAAGGACTCTAGAATCTGGGAGCCTGAAGAGAGCAAGTATTTATGGCAATAGCCAAATATTAAGGAACGAAGGAAGAAAATGAGGAGAAGCAACTCAAAAATCATAGGAGAGTAGGGCCACTATGGAGAAGGAACAATCCTATGTCTCTTAGGGTCTCCAGAGAGCATCACTGCATTGAAGTCTAGTAAGCAAATTCACGCTTGTTTGTAAGAATAAGATGAGAACACATTATAAGCATTTTACCAATTAAAAAAAATGAAAAGAATAAGATGAGAATTAGTTACCTGTAAAATTTTACCTCCTAAAGTATCGATATTAGGAATGGGACTCTACTGCAACTAGACATATTTAGAACAGGATTTTAGAGTTCCAGTTTAAGCCACATAACGTGAAGAGTATAGAGATCGACTCAAACATTCAAGGTGAGATAGAACTACTCTCACATGTATCTGATTCCAGTCTGAAAAGATACTCTGCGAATTTCATTTATCTGTGATACTTTTAAATCTGGATGAAAATGAGATCTGGAGGCTCTTGATTATGTGGATTAATCCCATTTATGCTAGTGCATTAACTACTATGAATTATACAGAGCATCAATAGAAGAAGATCAATATGAAAAAAAACAAAAGTTCAAGTTCTTCTTTCTCTTCCTCCTTATGTAGTGTCCTTGACTTGCTGCATGAGGGCAGCCAGCATAACCCCCGCTTCGGGAGTTATGTCTCTGAAGTAGCAGGTATTCTTCTTTCTCAAGAGTTTTGGTCATGGGCTTTAATGAGACCCCCTTAACTGAACCTACCTTTGCCATCAGCTCAGTCTCAGCAGAGTTAGAGGCCTGTTTGTAAAATGTTAGTGATTACAATTCATCCTTCAGAAGCATTTTATAGGGTACATAAAACCCATTACAGAACCCAAGCGCTAATTAATGATACCACACAGCATGTGTTTGCTTTTCCTCTGATATTACCTGATCAGCCACCGCGCGGGCTAATTTGTCCATTCGAGAACCTGCTTCAGCAATTTTCTTGGCGGCATTAATAACATCAGATGTATTTTTCAATGGGCCTTTGCCTCTGAAACAACATATACAGCATAATTATATTGTTTGTCCAGGACATTGTTTTTATATTTGATTTTATTCTGCCCACATCAGAAGAATTTTGAAGGTTTTCTGGATTCACTTCAATTTCCATGTTAATAGTACACTTTAATTCCATTCACTTTAAAAAAATATTTTTCTCTATTTTGATGTGCATGCTCATATTTTATTCCTTACCTTAATTTCTTTATTTTTAAACAGTGGTTCATTAAAAAAAGATGATCACTACAAGGGCAAGAGGAATTTAATATTTAAATACTTGTATGTGCCTGTGCTATTATATATACTACCTCATTTGTGTTTATTACCACCCTAGCAAGTAACCATTATTATTCCCATTTTAGAGGAGAGAAAAATGAACTAAAAATTATTAACTTATCTAAACTTTATAAAGGTCATAGTGTAAACTCTACATTTAAATTAGAGTCTAGCCAAAATAAATGAACATGCCTTGTCTTTCATACCATGTCCAGCACTATACTGTATTAATTATATTTTAAGTTTACTTTGACACTTTGAAAGCAGTGGTCTCTCGTATATAACTGGGAACTGTTCAGTCAGAATTTCTGAAAAATTTTGAGCCCTCACTCTCATTGGCTTGTCTGGTACTGACTTACGAAGGAACACACAAAACACTGTGTGACAATAGGTGTCTTTATGCTTCCAAACCATTGTCCCATATTTTCACATAAGGTTTTCAATTTGGTGGACTGTTTAATATTACATATATTTTAAATATTTATCAAAAAAGAAAAGGAAACTATGCCACCTCATAAATCCTTAAACAAAATGTAGCATGTAACTTTTCTTTCTCTTTCTTGAGAGGTAAATAAAACAATAAATTTATTCTTTTTTTTTAGCATTATTACTTATTCTGCTCTCCACATGTGCATCTAAAAATCAATGCATTTTTTAAGGTCACAAAATTACATTCCTATAGTTAGAGATGTGGTGAGATGTGGAGAAAAACTACTCAGAAGCAATTTACTTAGAACATGTAGGGATATACAGAGTGGGCAATGACTGCTATTGTTAAATAATAACATTTTATAAAATGGGAGACTTAAAATGGCTTCAGAAAATAAATGTAAATGAAGGGCATTTTGTTCAGTTTCCCTCCCAATTTCCCTTCTGGCATTTTTTACATTCATAGCAAAAACAAAAATATATTGTGTTCATGTCAATGCTTAAACACACACACACACTGGTAAATGCAAAACTTAAGATACTCCATTTTGCTATGGCAACATCAATTCTTCCACAAAGGATAATGATTTTTTTTAATTACTGCTTAGATTTTTAACTACGACAGGGATTTTACATGTAAATATTATGTAATATGGATAAGATTCTGTGACAATCATGCTCTCATTTTCTAACATTTTTTTTTTTACTCTCTTTTAACAAATTTTTCCTTGGTTTTGCTTTATATTTCTTAAGGAAGGTTTAGATTGCAGAATTTGTCAATGTTTAATTCTGTTGTCATTATTACATATTTTCCCATAACTTCCAGGCCTTATAATCTCTCTTTTAAGTTTTACTCCGAGGTAGTATCTGTTACTTTTTGCCTCATCTTAACCCATTCACAAAAAGGTGCATGCTGCTTATTTTTTTATTACCGACAATTGTGTGTTTATTTATTTCAAGAATTTCAAGGGATTTGGGAAAACAGTTCCTTATCAACTTTATATGACTTTCAACAGTTGGTTGGTTATGACGAAATAAGCTAAGTAAGTAAGGAACACCAATAGAGAGATTTGCTTGAGGCTCAGACTCCCATCTTGCAGCCAAAGAAGGATTAGAAGCATGTCTTTTGTGATTACATAGGAAACTATAGTTCTTAGACAAACTAGTATATCATTATTTAAGAAGTTTGAGACTAGAGTTAGTTCAAATTCCTGGCATGGCAAGTTAGTGATAGGAACATATTCATTAAATGCAACAGCAAAATAGAAGTTTTGAGATCTTCAAATATTTTCCTATTTTCTAGTTGAGGAAATGGACACTGAAAGAGGAACGCTAAGTGATGTGTCCAAGATGATACTGGCAGAGAGACTGATAGACAAAAAGAGAATTAGGTTTGGGACCTCTGTGTCCTGAATCACATTTCGGTACTCTTCACTCTTTTTACTACACATGTTTCATTTTTATAAGAACACTAAAATGGTGATCTCAGAGGAAAACAAATGGTCTTCATTACAAACATGAATGTATGAGAGATAATGAAAACAATAATGATCTGAATCAGGAATTTAGAAAGAAATAGGAAAGAACTAATAAAATTATAAGAACAGATTAATGATTTAGAGAATAATGAAACAATGGACATAAGTCTAGAACAGTTTCTTAAACAAATAAACAAACAAAAAAACAAAAAACCCTGATGTAAAGAAATATACCTAGATTGCTATCAAGAAAAAGCAGGAGTGGGTGCCTGGATGGCTCAGTTGTTTAAGCAACTGCCTTAACTCAGGCTCAGGTCATGATCCTGGAGTCCCAGGATTGAATCCCACATCAGGCTCCCAGCTCCATGGGGAGTCTGCTTCTCCCTCTGACCTTCTCCCCTCTTGTATTCTCTCTCTCAAATAAATAAAATCTTAAAAAGAAAAAGAAAAAGTAGGAGAAAAACAAATATTTAAAAGTAAAAAAGGCAACAGTGAAATAACCTTAGAAAACAAAATTAAAAGTATCTTAAAACTACTTTCCTCAATACATGTAAATAAATTTGATGACCTGAAGGATGTACCTTTCTAGGAAAATATAATTTACCAGTGCTGACTGAAAAGGAAATTTTAAAAAAATCTATTGTTTGATTTCCATGGAAGACATAAATAAGGTGTTAAAGAGAAAGCTAGTAAACAAAAATCAGTAAATCTAGGTGATGTCTCAGAGGAATGCACTAAACCCTTAAAAAGCAGATAACCCCAATGCCATTTAAACTCTTCCAGAATGCAGGAAGCCTTCAAAAACAATTTAATTAAGTAATATAATAATATTGATGTTGTGAGAAGTAGTTAATATAAACTATTTGAGGATGCTTATTTAGGTAGCAATTTTTTTTTAAAGGAAGATAAAGAAGAAAAACTGAAGTAATAAAGTGGCAGTTGAGTGCTAGAGTGGGTTTGCACATGCTCATAAGAGCTGCTGCTGTTAAATTTTCAAGAATTTGTTGAGTTAGTTGATTTGCTGATTGCTTGAAATCTGTCCTGATAAGAGTACTTATTCTATGGAAATCAGCAAATGCTGCATAAGTGAGGATTATTCCTTCCAGAGAAAATCAGCACACTGCTGCCCAAACTCAAAGTAATAGTTACAACCAGTGGAGAGCAAAGATACTGCGATCTGTGAGAGGTATATTGGGGCATCTGGAGCTGGGTGATGGATATACAGGTTATTTTTATAATAATGTTCAAGTTGTACATTCATATTTCATGAATTTTGCTGTACATATATGTCAATTTAAATAGTATTTACTCGCTTATGTTTCTGTCAATCTGATGGATCTGAAAAAACTTAATTTCCATTACCTTGATGACAGAGGAGGCTGGGTCTGTTTTTATCATTTATTGGTCATTATTATTTTCATTCATATATCCTTTTCTTTGAGTTGTTAATGTAAGCTTTTGCATATTTTTCTAATGACTTTGTTTTTTAAAAATTCTGTTTTTTTTTTTTTTAACCTATATTGGTATCTAAACTCTTTAGGTATTCTGGATTATAGTCTTTTATTATTTATTCATGTTTCAAAAATTACTTCTCGTCTTAGCGTGTAGATTACTGTCATTAATTTTTTTAGTATAAATTGTAATTTTACTGGGCCAGATGTACAAATCATTTCTACTAAAGTTTGTGCTTTTCACATGGTCTTTAAGAAGTTCTTCCTTGTGGGCATCTGGGTAGCTCAGTTGGTTAAGCTACTGCCTTTGGCTCAGGTCATGATCTCAAGGTCCTGGGATCAAGACCCACATCAGGCTCCCCCTACTCTGTGGGGAGCCTGCTTCTCTTTCTCCCTCTGCCTGCTACTGCCCCTGCTTGTGGTTCTCTGTCAAATAAATAAATAAAATCTTTAAAAAAAAATAAGTTTTTCCTTTCCGGAGATGTTAACACTATGGTAGTAACCATTTTG